CTCTTCCTCCAAAAAGCATTCTTTTTCGCTTCAAATATTTAACATATTTCTTAGATCGAAAGAAAATTGCAAATTTCTCTGGCAGTAATTGTCAAAGAAAGAGGCTTTATATTGAGGACTGCACTAATTAAGTAGTATTTTCACGCACATCCAGAAAGTGAATGAAATGACATGTTGCAAATTCTTTAACATGGGAAATTTAACAAAATACATACCAGCCATCCATCAAAAAGCCCAAATCAACAGCAAGCTCTGCCAATCACTCAGCATTCATCCAAGCAGACTTCATTGTTGCAAGCAATTATTGCGGACAAGTTTTCCTTCATCCCATTCTGTTACGGAAGTCCCGAACACCTTCCATCAACAGGCACAGGGAATAACATCGAATGCATCAATACCTCCAGCCAGTCACTTGTAACAACGCATCAAGTGGGAATAATATAGGTCACAAAAAAAAAACACCCAAGGAAACCACTACCATAATGCCTGGACTGCCACAGAAAACAAGTGGTTTCTTTTTCAATTTCAACCGAATTCTTTTTCCATGAAAATAAAAATTGAATCTCGGATACACCAAATTCTGATCTCTGTGAGTTAAATGCAAAAATCTTCTACAAACAAGCTCTGAACTTGGCACTCACAGAAAAAAAGTCTTAAGTTTTCCCGGCAAAGGTTATACCACTAATGTACACTACCATTGAACCAGCCATTTTTTTAAATCAACTAAATATGTTATTTAGAAGATTTGAACTGAAAAGGAAAAGACTATGGTAAACTATTGCAAAAGCCTACCATATGAGACATTATTGCAACAAATCTTTCTTCATTTTCAAACATCAATACAAACTGAAAAGGAAAAGACTATGGTAAACTACAAAAGAACCAGAACCCACAATTTCACTGCCAAACCAGCTTCCTGCCCATTCAAAATAATCCAAAAAGAAAAAATCTTTTCACTCGTAAACTCCAAAATGGCCATAATTTATACTCGGAGGCCTTCACCTCTGCAACTAGCTAGCTCTGTCGCCTGCCCCGCCAACGCACACCAGCCTCCTGGGCAATTCCAAAAAAATCTAAAAAGAATCTCCTGACGTATAATTATCCAAAAATAAAAAAAAATCGCTAAATTCAACAACTAAACTAGTTCTAATACTAAATTAACTTATATATATATATATATATATATATATAAACATTCCAGCTCAAGAACTGCAAAGACATAAATAAGAAACTTAAAGTACCTTGACACCACGTCTGTGAACAGTATTAGTCCAGCAAGGAGGAGGCAAGGTAAACAAACTATGAGAGAAGTAGACGAAAACATCAATCAAATACCAATGCCAAGTAGCATAAGCATCAGGATTAGTCCCTCCTTGAACCCACTTGTCATTCACATAACCTCTTTGCATATCATGGCGAACAAGACGCCTAGGCCTATTTGGCTAAGACTTGGGTTTTAAAGGAACATAAGATTTGTTAAATGGGCAGTGAAAAGATTCAAGCTAAGAACGAGTTTCAAGCTCTTCAAAGGTTTTGATTGGGTATGAGATTGGAATGGAGGAGTGTGATCAATGGTGGAGGATTCTTGATCTTGCGGGGGGGTCATTGGATTTCATATTTTTTAGTATTAGAGAAAGGAAATTGCAGAGTGACTAGGGTTTGGCGGTTGATGCAGGCACGAAGGAGAGATATAAGCAGTCACTCATCTGCCTGTTTGTTTTGAGAGACAAGACAGTGGGAAGTAATCTCTTTATATAGTTTTAGTTTATGTTTTGGAGTATTTTTTTTCATCATCATTACGGTGTGTTATGGTCATTGGTATGGTTTTGGAGGGAATCTAAAAGGAGTGAAAATCCATTTTCTACTTACAAGCAAATGCTTTGTTTATTATTACTGCCAGGAAACTTCATGTATCGCAAGTAGTGATGGGCTTTAAGATTCTGGATTGCGGTTTGAGATGTTAGCACAAATAAAATAAAGAATTATGAGAGAGGTTATGCTCTGCTAACGCATAGGCTCGTTCTTTTACGAGTACCCTTTTCTGGTCGAGCAATACTCCCCGTTATTTCGTTTTCCAAGTTGTTACTTCGAAAAGGAGAGAAATTTTGACTTGCTCTGAAGAAGGGAAAAAAAAAAGGTAGAAGCTATTGTTAGGACTAAGATTGATGTCAGAACACAATGTTTGGCAACTATCTATGTTCACAGAGCAGCCAATTTCATTAAATAGAGAGAAAACTACAATCTACAGTAAACGAGAGGAGAAATGAGGAGGGGGAACACGTCAACTCAACTCTCATTTTATATAGTTGCCTCACGCTTCTTTCTATCTCTGCCTTGCTTGCTGCTTCAAGCTACTTGTGCAGGCTCTATCATGCTCTTACTGATGGCCAGTATCTATAGCTGAAAATGGGGGAGAACACATTTCATTTTCAACCATGATTTCTTCCAACAAACTATCAGAAAATCTTCCCCTAATTTTCAGTCATGAAATCCCCCAGCCTAATTAGTAGCACTGAATTCTTCACTTCCTTTCCAACTTGATGTGTCTTTATTGTCTCCGAACTCAACAGAAATCTCAACAGGAACGTAACATCCGTTAAAAGGGTAGTGAAAGCACTTGAAGTTATTTACTTGGGAGGAGGAGTGTCCACGGTAGAGGACTGATGTTCATTTGATCCAGACATGGTTAGGCCTTAGGAGGAGGAAATTGCAAGAAGAGATTCGGGATTTGGCAGTTTTTACATGTATTGAATCCAAGGATTGACAATGGTGATTGTAATATAAGATTTTGGCAGGAAGTTCTTCCATTAACTTGATCAGAGAATCAAGTGTAATCAGACTAACTTGATTCTCTGATAAAAGTCTTTGTGTAGTATTACTTTGTTTTCCGTTTTTTGCCGTTGGTGCGGATGTTTGGTGGGACTATTTTGAAAGACTTGAAAGCACGTGTGGACATGTGCTTCACGTTCATTTTTACGCAACAAATACGGAAAAATAAGGAAACAGACTTGAGGATGTCCATGCTCCATACTTCTTTAAAGGATAGTTTATAGGTGAATGGTTACTGCTAAAAATATTTGATATAATCCATGCTTATACATCAGAGGCAAGGATCCTGCGCAAGAAATGATGCATTTTATTATTATTTTACAGGGGTCCTTGCAGGTAATAAAGATTTGGTGATTTTCTCTAGGTCTTACCACGTATTCGCATTTCTCTCTCGTAATAGGTAAATTAACATGTTCCATAGGATCGTATCATAGAAACATCAGAGATGGTGATGGAGAAGGATATGCAATATAATAACGCTGTACAAGAAATTGATGGGTTGTATTTGATTGGATTATCATTGAATGCATGCTTGTATTCAAGTTATTGATTGGTGTTTTCAGTGTCGCTAGTCCTTGTGTTTTATCGTTAGCTGTCAATATCTGTGGTTTCTGGGTTTTTCCGCGGGAAGGGTTGAAGACTTCGGCTTCAGACAGTACAAAGACTAGCATACAATTAAAGGAGATTGCTCCCAATTAAGTCTAACATGCTTCTTTTTTATGCACGCCTGCTCCTCTGACCTGAAAGTTTATGTCATCACATGGTTAGGAACCACGAGTTGGGATATGCTCAGATGGAGAGCGAAACTTCAGTTGTTTTTAATAATATTTTCGGTTGCATACGGTTCAGGCAAGTGCATCTCTCGTATCAAAGCCTTTTACCACTGATGTATTTCCAATTTGAATTCGTACTAATATCAACATCAAAAGCGTGCACTGACAACCACTAACATCAACATACACGTAAGGAGAGAACAAAAAAAATGGCAACAGAAGCAACCACTTGAATCACTCATGCAAACCCAAAAACTAGGAGGGAATCGGAGGTCTCTCTATCGGATGTGAAGTTTCTCTGCATCAAAACTTTGCAACATTTGCTGAATTTTAGTTTTCGGGGCAAGCTTCAGATGTCTTTGCCAGTGGGTAAGAAGAGTTTTAAGTTGGTTCCTCAACTTTAAAGCCCATATTCAGGTCGCAGGAGACAATCCATTCATGCAAATTCACAGGATAGCTATCTGCAAATCACGCACTTCAAAGTAGTTCATCGGTTCCTGTCAACTTTTCAAATTCACTTTCATCAATTGTCCCCTTCTTCAGTTTTTTCAATAAGCGATATTCCCGAGCCAACTCTTCGTCATCCTCAACTGTCTGGGCAGCTCGTCTCTGTTTAGCAGTTTTCTTTCTCATGACAGTAGCTGCGGCACTGGGGGTCTTGCTTCCCTTTTCGGGTTTTGATTCTTGCTCCCGTGCTTCTTTCTTGGCTTGCAAATTTTTCCGTCTTTGTTTCTGACGAGATTTATCCCTGATCACAATTACTGGCTATTAGCACTCAGTTGCTATAAGAAAAACAAGAAGATGAAGTTTTATGACACCATGTCCATGTGGACACTGGACAAGATATGCATGGGATAAGGAGTTTAAGCCTTAGAGATTCGTTTAAATATAGGTAAAGCTCAAGTGAGGGGACAAACCAATTTTTGAAGCTGCAGAACTATGACAGAATAATATGAATCAAATAATAAATCAGACTCTAAGGATGAGAACATTCAACAATTTCAGTCCTGATATGTCTAGTCATGAGTACTCACACACTGGTATTGTAATTGCTGCTACATAACAAACAGTCCCTTCTTCACAATTAATGTGGAAAGCAAGGCATAGTGAAGAACTCTTACTTGTACTTGATCTCCTCTAAATTGAGGTCGTCAACTGGAGTGAAATCCTTGGTTGAAAGTGAGTGGTGCTTTACCTCTGGCATTGATGGGAGCTGTAATAAGCCATATCCCATGCCCAACTTCCCAACTTCTAGTTCTTTCCACCTGTAAAATACAAATATAAGGCGAACCCAGTCACAGTCCAAAAGAAGTAAAGGTTCTAGGATGGGAAACCTAAACATGGTCTTGTCCAGTTAGGGGTTATGCTTTTTTGTGGGTTGGGGGAGGCAGTAGCTTAGGAACAGGATGAAGCATGATTATTAACCTGAAAATGTAAGAGCAGTGGTGTTCTTTATATGCACGAATGTACGAAACAAATGCTCTCAGTCCTTTCTCCATGACATCACGGTCCTTTTTAGCGGCAGATCGTATCTGAAACAGGTAACGACCAGAAATATTGGATCAATGAGCAAAAATAGAAGGGCATAGCAGAAAAGAAAACTATGAAATATGATGCTAGATACAGTATCTAGAAAGCAAGCCAGTGGTCAGAATATAACAATAATAGCAGTGAAGATGTTAACTTTTCAAACATGTGGGTAAAAAATCATATCTCAACATGTAACATAACTAGCAGAATTGAGTACCATAATTAGTCACAAATTATTTCGGTGTGTAGTGCTGGCAATCAAATCCAAATAAGCTTGACAATGACACATGCACCATAAGAGAAAATAGTCATTCAGGATTGACCATGGTGCTTCATGACATCAAGGTTAGTTATGCTAATAGCATTGTGAACCTAATCAGGATTTTTTGCTCTATCATCATCTTCTAAGTTACTGCCTGGGAAAAATTGAGGTCACCTGAGGAACAACATCTGGTGCATCATCTGCACATTTCCTTTCCAGAAGAGGAACCCTTCTTATGCGCAGGAATTCCACATAAGCTTCCTCCTGCAAGAAGTGACTACATTGATCACTTTTGTTGTAAGGTGAAGCAATAGATAGAAAATAACATGAACAAAAAGAATTCAGAATAACACATTTAAGAGCTAATAATAATTGCTTCAATGAAGAAGTGATAAGCTACACCTTTGGCAACAGAAAAACAATGGAACTTCCTTGTCTACCCAACCGAGCAGTTCGACCAACTCTATGAACAAAGACATTTGGGTCTTGAGGGGGGTCGTACTGCAAGATTAAATGAAAAAATATTTCACCTATCAATTAACCTTAGAAATTAAAAATTAAAAGTAACATTCTCTTAATAAAGTTACAACGCTGCAGAGTGTGGATAGTTACTGCACTACCTGCACTATACAGTCCACACCAGGAATGTCTAGTCCACGTGCAGCAACATCAGTGCACAGAAGAATGCCACTTGTGAGAGATGTAAATGAAGTCAATGCTTTCTCTCTTGCTGTCTGTCAGGCATAAAAAAAAAGAAACAAATATAAAAATGTCAGAACACATGGCGATCTGCTGGAGATTTCTTCACCAACAACCTCTGCTCATCTTTGAATTTTTACCTGCTTCATCTTCCCATGAAGAGATATCAAAGAGAAGCCATTCAATACAGTGAGACGTGGAAGAACAACCCCCCAGTAATCGACACAAGCACATGTCATGAAGTATCTGCAGATTATGGAAATCATTTTTCAGAATAAATGATATTTCATCAGACCTTAATAACTTAGATTGCTTTGTCATCCTTTTACGAGATAGAACACAACTTACATGATAATTTTTTTAGATTTGTTCTCAACAAGGAGATCAACAAGCTGAGATGGTTTCTTATCTGCTTCACATTCCAGATACTGCAGAAAGAAAAGATAAGTTAACATATTGACTCCACTAAAGACAAATATTGACCAAGAACTATTCTCCATTAACATGTAAGGGATAACCCAGGTTGAATGACAAATTAATGCCTTGTAGAATTAGCATAACACAACATACAACATACCTCAAGTAGAAGGCCTGATGGTGTTTTGGAAGGTGCTACTTGTTGACCAGACACTGAGTTATTTAATGATTTTGTTTCAGCTCGAACTTCAACTTTCACAGGATTCCTCAGTCCAGCTTTGGATAGCTCTTCAACAGCCTCAGTTTGAGTAGCTGAGAAAAGGCCAGTTCTACGAAGCTTGGGTAAGCGAGATATAATGGAGTTTAGCTGCTTCTGGAATCCCATATCCAATAGCCTATCCGCCTCGTCTAAAATCAAAACCTGTTCAACCAATGGCAAATTTACCAGTAATCTTCATGATTGCTTTTGTTGTGCACCACAAATCATCCTTGTTCACAATCTCCATAATTAGCAATTCAGAACATGGTTATCTCAATAAACTTCTTAAAAAGGCATGCAACATTTTATCAGATGTCCCTAATTCAGTGGTCATGTTTTCTTTATAAAGAAATAATCAAGGTACGTGCTTTGCATTACTAGAGAATGATATCATATGAAACATAACAGGCACGAGGGTATAAGAAGCCTCAACCTCATCAAGTGGTTAAAAATCACTACCTCGAGGTTTCTAAAGTCCAAGACACCCACACGATCCATTATATCATAGAGCCTCCCAGGTGTTCCTATCAACAAATTAGCCCCTTCCTCCTCTATCATCTTCACATCAGCTTTTACATCCATGCCTCCAACAAGTAGCATGGACTTAAAATTTGACAAGGTTGCAATAAAAGGTTGTGCAACATTATATATTTGCGACGATAACTCCCTTGTAGGAGAAATAATTATTCCCATCACCTGTTAACCACGTAAAGCACTGAGATTATCAGCTTAATTATTAAGCTACAGAACCAAAATTAAAAACAAATGCAAGGAAGCAACCATGATACAAACTCCCAAAAGTCAAAACAGCTAAAAGCATTAAAACTCTCTTCTCATTTTTCAAATTATCTCAGTAACTAAGCAGGGCTGAGAAAATCAGAGAAAGGGTGAACAGCTTATTTTTCAACAATTCAAATCCCGATTCAACCAAATTACAAATAGTCGCACAACTAAAACAGACCAAAACTAAACCAATATATTAAATTAAGCAACTTGAACACTGAACCTAAACTGGACCCAAGAATCACCAATTTTCAATTCAAACAACAAAAGACACTAACTTTCCTTCGCTCGCTCCCAGTTTTCAGCGGTCGAACAGAACGCATAAAAAATAGATAAGAAAGCAATCACCTGGTGAGGTTTGGGAGAAGAGGATCGGCGAAGAATTTCGACGAGAGGTACAACAAAAGCAAGAGTTTTTCCGGATCCAGTGGCGGCGTCGACTGCTACGTCTTTGTAGCTGCATAGTAAAGGGATAGTGGCGGCTTGAACCGGTGTGCAGTAGTCGAACCCGGAATTGGTTAAGGCTTCGAGAACGGGCTCGGATATTGAAGGCTTTAAATCGGAGAAGCGGGTGTTCGTTAATGCTCTGTTTGGGTTCCGTGATTCGGTGGTGTCCATTGTAGGGTTTCAGGTACCGCCGCTTCTTTGATTCCCTTCAAAATCTATGCTGCGGCTTTTGTTGCTCGTGTGTCTGAAATTAACAGAAACGTTGTTTTAGGATGATTGAATGGAGAAGTATATAATTCTCCAAAAAGAACACGAACGTTGCTTACGTTTTCTTATTCTTTTACAGCACTTCGGTTAGGTCCATGACACCAGAGGAACGAAAGCCTGGCCCAGTCTTTTGAACAGGCTTGTTAAGCGTTGCTTGCGAGCACGGATGCTACATTTAAAAAAAGAAGAACAAGGTAGCAGCAAATTACTCCAGCACTGGATTCATTGCATTGTGCATTGGATGACTCTTTTACCATTGTCAGATAAAATTAACTAATTTGTTATCAGGGACAGTACTATGTTTTTCACATTAATTAGTGGTAATTATTGGATTGATTTGGATATATCATTTTTCTTGTATATTTTAGTACAGTAAAATTATTCTTAAAAGCCAAAAAGTATTAAACTTATATAGGAATTCTTTGTTTTTTTTTAAGCACCGTTAAAGTATTGAATTACCAATAAATTATTAGGCTGAAATCCAGGTTTCTTTTGCATTCTCTGGTTTTTTAATTGTAATCAGGTAATCAAGTAGGTTAATGATTAATTTTGTATTTTAATTAATATTAAATATTATTTTAAAATAAAAAATAATTGACATGTGCAACATAAACTTTACTGTGTGAGAATTGCGAGTGTCATTGAATAACTTGCACAACATTATCAGGTGTATAAATGATAGTTTTCTAGATATCATTAGATTTGTTTTAGCGATATCTCAAACACGTATATCTTGCTGAAAAATCTTTGTTTTAGTGTCGACAGCCTTTGCTATTTTCCTTTATTTTCTTTCCCCCTCGATTTAGGTGTCCAACCCTTCATTTTTTTCAAAAAAAACCTTTTAAAATGTTTTTCATCCATGCTTTGTCTGCCTTCTTTTTATTATTGTTTATTTTACTTGAAAATAATTATAAGATTGAAATGTTTTTTTATTTTATTTTCCTTTAATTTTTTAAACTAACAAGTTTAGCCTCTATTTTTTTAATTATTATTTATTTTATCCAATATAATTTATTTTTTTATAATTTCATCATCATTTAGTTTTTCTCCTGTCATGTTTGATTAATTTATTTTTTTAAAATATTTTTTGTTTTTTATTTTTATTTTATTTTTTAATATTAAATTAGTTGATAATTAAACTGTTCAATTAAATTCATATCTATAGTTTTAAGAATTGTTATTTTACTTGTTTTTCTTTCTATTATGTATTCAATTTTTTTCCATCATCCAACATCTAGTTAATTAGAGATTGGGATCCATTGATATTTGTTATTTGCTTTTCATTGGATTTTTTTACTTATTTTAAAAATAATATAAATTATTTTACCTATCAATATTAATATTGAGTTATTTGATAATTAAATTTGATAATTTTACTTAACTCACTTTCATCAAGGTTATCGTGATATTATAATCAAAATACAAATTTATATGCTGACTTGAAAAAGCTCGGATTATAATATTTTATTTTTATCTTGTTAGGTTGTATTTTTTTCTTTAATAATTTGCTTGCTGAAACTTGAGATTTGATACACACATTTTATGAAGTTACCACATTCATATTTATTTTTTGTTTCATTGTTAGATAATATCTTTCAACATTTAATTTTATTTTTTATCATGATATTTAATTGATTGAGAATTGATCATTGTGTGTTTCTTTCTTGTTTTTATTTTTATCGATTATTCCAATATGTTGCTCATAATCACAAGGCTAGTAGGTCAATCTTATGTAATATAAGTTTTTTGTTTTTTGTTTTTTTTTTTATCTTATTATGTAATATTATATTATTTAATAATTAAATTTTATGATGTTATTTAGTTTGCTTTTAACAAGATTAATCCAATATCATGATCAAATTGTGTATTGGGTGTACTAATCCCAATAGACTAGAGTCGAGATTTTTTTTACCTTTTTTTTACTGGTTTTTTTTAGTTTATTTATTATTATTGTATTTTTTTACTCATCTTTATATATCAACTAAGCTCATTAAACCCAATCGAGTCAATGACCCCACTTTAGTCTTTTTTAAAATAAAAAAAATGCTTGCATAATCCTAGCACATCTTTTTTTTTTTACATTAAAAAAAATTAGGTCGGTCAATGACATCCGAGCAGCCTATAAAATGCAAAGCTAAGATTTCAAAGGTGTTCGAGATTAAGTTTTGACTTACTTTTTATTAAAATTTAATTTTTTTAGTATTTTTGGATTAATTTTATATGTCCTTGTCAAAAATAATTTTTTAAAAATAATATTTTTTGATATATTTTTAAGTAATAAATACTTTAAAAACAAAAGGCCACCACATTTCCAAATATCTTAAAGTTAAAAAGAAAAAAAAGAAGAAAAATAGGGATTTTATGAATTATTGAAACTAGTAGCATTGTAATTCTTTAAAGTTAGTAGCAATATAACGTACAAGAAATTTCTTGATAGTTAGTTTTGATTTAACTGTTTAAGATTTATGTTATCTAATCAATAAATAATAAAAATTATTAATATTTTAATTCTTAAGAGTATAACTTAATTGGTTAAGTATCGAATTTACTTTTTAAAAATTATCCGTTCGAGTTTCATAAATCTTAAATTTACATAATGATCAACTTTGGGGCTCATAGAATTAACTGAAATGCGTGAAAACTGATTTGAATTGATTTGAATATGCATGTTAATCTGAAAAAAATTATTATTATTATTTTTATAAAAAAAACCAAAACCATTAATTTCAAAATTAACATATTCAAGGCCCTTAAATAGAAGGGTTGCTTCACTTTACATGTATATGAGATATTCATGAACATGATTCCACGTATTAAAATTATACTTCCTTTTCCAATCAGATTTTAAGTAGGTTATTGTATCCAAATAAATGAATTCAGAAAATATGCTATTCTGATGACCTCTTCTTGAAATGAAAGGAGGAAATTTTACGACCAGTCGTTCCAGCTAGTTTTCCAAAAGAATAATTACCCAAGCTCGAGGTGAGCTGAAATCAATTTCGAGATAAAAACATATCTGAGCTGAATCGCGAGTTTTAACTTATCGTAAACACGAGATAACTTTCAGCTCTGGGACATAAAAATATAAAGACTGGGCTAGAATTGCAGGCCTTTCTGAGGTCTGGATTGCTTTAAATATGGGCCCACATTGCCCTCTGTTTCCAAGATGGGCTTTGACCCATTTCCATGAATTAATTGACTATCAACAACGACAGACTGGCATATTTTCCCTGCTAGCCAGGATCGACCGCGACTCAGGAAACGAGGAAGGATCCTTGTGCACTTCTATCGCTCTCTTTTCTGGCAATTTCTCCCCGCTCTTACCTGCCGTACCTCAACAGCATTAAAAAGCAAAGCAGGAAAAGAAGAGAGATATGAAAATAACCATAAGTTTCTTCATATCTCTGAGATACTACTTTCTAATCATTGCCCTTCTACACCGAGTCGGGTCCCTCGACCCAATTTCTGCAGTCTGCGAGCTTAGTTTCGTTGTTAGAGACAAGGTTTATAGATTCAACTTAGTTTCTCCGCTCCCGAATTTTCCTCACGGTGTCCTCAGCGAAGATGGGTATTCATTTGCCGTCTCTCTTTCTTGATCTGGGTTTTTCCTATCTTCATTGAATTTTCTCTTATTGCTTCTGTTTTCACCGTACCGTGCTTGCTTCACTTTGATGGCATTCCCATTTCACTGTTCAATTAGATACTGTTGTCTTGCTTAATTTCGTGTTAAAATAGCTCGGCATAATAATAATGTAAATTAGGTGAAATAATGATTTTCTTTTCTTTACATTATCACTTCTATACCCCTGGTTTAAAATGTTGATGATTTTGTAATGGAAAGTGGAAAGAGTCGAGCATTAGTGGGATTTTTAATTGAGTAGAACTAGGCTAGTAGGAGACAATACTGTGGAGATGTATGTAGGAAACGTGGAAACACGACAAAGATTGGATAAAAAGTAAAGTTGCAGCCATAAGGAAGTGAATGTGCCACTTATGTGATGATAAATTGAAAGACAGCCATGTGATATGATTTCGTCATGTATTCATGTAGACTTTGAATTTGCTGGTACAAGAAGTGATTTTATCCATGGAGAGAATAAGGATAGAGCAAAGTGGGGCCAATGAATTTTTTATGAGCGTGGAAGGGAGACTTAGTTAAATTGAGCTGTTGTTTAAGGCCAAGAATGAGAATAATAAACTTGGAATGTTTGATTTATGTTTAAAATAATAAACATGGAATGTTTGATTTATATTTAATTTATGTGAAGGGTTTATCAGAAATGAACATAGCAAACATTAAAAATCGATTTGTATGCATGTGTATGCATGATTTTTCCATATCAAATCCAGCATAGAATCATTGCTGGACCATGTCACATGTATTGCAAGATTCAGGGAATCCTGATTTTATCAAATAGGGATGGATTCTGATGGAGATCTATAACTTCTATTCTTTTTTGGTTGGTGTGACTGATATAGGTTTTATAAGGTAGCAGTGAACGAGACTGTGCTCTGGTTTCAGGTTGGCTCCATCAGGTTACACTTTATTTACTCGTTTTCTAAGTGATCTTTGTTATTTGTGTAAGCAGTATGCTTACCTGTTTATCAGATGCGGTGCAACCTCAAAAACAAACACACACTTAGCTAACTCCACATTAGAACTTCCACAATATCATGTAAAGAATAACCACATTCCAGGATTGTTATTTATGAATCTGACTTGCAAATTATAAAGTTGATGCCTTTTAAATTCGGAAACAAGATCTTGCTGATTCAAGTTCAACAATTTATTACCTAATTAGAAAACCCAGCAATATGGTTCCATGCCACAAATGCTGCATATTCATTAAGGTTCTTTTATGAATCTTTTCTTGCAATAACAATCTTGATTCTGAATCATTTCCACTGTTTGAGAGCTGGTATTTTGTATGGAATCAAAATCTTGTAGATTGAAATTCATCAATATACTCGATCTGATGAAAAATTGAAACCAATGCTATGGTTAGAGGTGTTGAACTCGAACAGGAAGATTTGCTATTAATTTTCTATTTTTTTTTCCAGTAATGATCCCTCTACATGAAATTACAGCTGAATTATCCCAGTTGATTTTCCATTGATTTTTTCTTCTTGGTTTCATGGAGCAGCTCTGTGATGGAATGATTTTTAATCATGATGCCCCTAGATGTGTTGACTGCCTGGTAAATTCCTCTCATCAAGATTATTTATAGTTTATATATATATATATTTGGGAGCTGGAAGTTCTCAATGATGAGTCATCAAAGGAATATTGTTACGGCATTGACATGAGATGGACTCAGAATCAGCACAAGTCAAACATTCCCATTGTATGCATCTGATTCATCTTCATTTAGTTTGGCATATCCTCGTCATATGGAATTGGAGTTGTCACTGCATGTTTATCTTGTCAATCTACCCTTAAGGATAAAATCATTGTCTACAATATTGGGTTAGAGAACATGTGATATGCTCTCTAGGTAGACCATATAGAGATGTTCCAGTGGATTGTTGAAACATATCATTAAAGTCAGGTGGCATTTGTTCATCCACTGCAGCAGAAGTTTGCTGGCATTTTTCATCAATGAAGAATTGGGTGGAGAACCATCAGATTCCATGTGCTCTCGTTCAATCCTTTATGTTTAGGATGCCTGCTAATGTGCTCAATCACGTACTCTGTTAGCCAAGAAGCAGATATTCTATTTGCCATCAGAGTTACAAAAGGTTTTTTATTTGACTGTCTTTTGGTTACTGCAGGACTGCGGGGGGGCATCGCGTTGTGGCTTGGAATGCAGTGCTCTCATGGCAAGGAATATTGAAGGTAAACAATGTTAAAGAGTTTATATATGTTTGATATTTTAGTTGCACCATACTTGCATTTATACCTAAACCCTACTGATGTACTTTAAAGTTTTTCTTTTCAAATATCGGGTTTCCCCAATATCTGAGTCTGTTTTGAAAATAAGCATTAAGTATGATTAACTCAGTTATTAAAAAAATATGGTTTCTTAAATATTGCAGATCCTTATCTAATATGTTGTTTTATTAACTGATAAGGCTTTTTAGTGCCATCTTATTTGTAACTAGTTAGTGTAAATTAATATTATACATTCAAATGCACCAGGTCTAAAAGGTGTTAATTCAATTCGGAATGTGAAGAATTTGCATCCCTATGCTACAAAGACAAATAGTATTGTTTCCTCGTGACTTAAATGAACATCATGTCCTTAACTAAATCATTTCTCACAAGTTACAAAATGAGATAGCTATATGTACACAACATGTGCATCATCATTAATGTTGGCAGAGCATTGTATGTGTTTCAACTGAGTAGTAATAATCTTGTTGAACTAGTTTTCACCACTCATTTAGACATGTCACAGCTTCTAAATTAATTATAAATTTCAATCACAGAGGTAATATTGCCATCATTATCCAAAATATTTCTTTGCCATTTCAATTGTCTGAATATTATATTGCCATGTAATAAATCAGAATGACGAGGAAATGTCTCCCTAGCTCTATTATTTTAGTCTTAGAGACAACCATTCTTGAAACATGTTAAACTAGACCCAGGTTATGATTAGATCCTGACATGTTTGCAGGTTATGATGTATGCACCACTATTGGAAAAGTCACTAGCACTAGCACTAACATTATTGGTAAGATAATTATCTTTTCCTTTTTCTATACATAATACAAGTGTTATATCTATTTAATTCTTTATGCGTGGGTCTCCAATATGGGTTGGTTATGGCAGCATGGGTGTGCTAACCCTTTATGATCCTGTGGCTTATGAGATTCCTTCCCCTAATTTCACCTCTACCTTTTTAAATTATTGATTATGCTAGTGCTTTGGCCTATACGCATCAATGTTGCAGATAATCAAAATCCCCACAAGGGTGTGATTGTCAAGATGACAAGCAGCGGATCAAAGCATAATTGTTCACTCTCTGTCTCTGTCATCTGTGATTCAAATAGAGTTAATGTGAGGGAGTTTTCCTTGAATCTTTCCCTCCAAACTTTCTTATTGTACCACATTAATTTTGCTGGAGCTGTTAATACCTGATCTGCACCCTTTGACTTCATCTATCATTCTGTTTCACAGGGGCCACACTCACTGGAGAAACTAGGGACTTGTGATTATGTGAGTTACTGAATACATCATTTATAAGTTAAAGTGGTTGTGGTTTATGATTAGTTAGTGACACAGTGTTCTCTGGGAATTGTTAGACGCAACTGATATGTGCTGTGAATGACATGCTTATTATGCATACAGACTAGGTCCAGAATTATGAAGCCTTCAAGTGTTACTCTTTATGGTGGTACTTATTTCATTATTTCTCTGAATCCTGTAAATCATGCAAGTGAGATTTATAGAGAATCCATGTGCTGGATCTTATAAATTACTTCTTCTGCTTCTTTGCTTATCTACTGGATATGGATCTTTTGGTCACATCATAGTTTGTGTTATTAGCAAAGGTGCCCGCTGTCATTTTTCTTCTGTGCAGTCAACTTTATGTTTCGGACATTGAAAATGCTGGTGGATATGCTTTAATTTGCATTTCAGTATTTCAGGCTTCTAATTTTCTCTTTCTGACAGGCCGCAGTGCTACAGCACCCTTCTGGTTGTGCCACGATCAATGGTCATGGAAAAGGATGGGGCTGGTTTGGTACCTTGATGATCACGTAAGGGTTTCCTTTTCTTCTTCTTTTTTTTCCCCTCCTCTTATGAATGCCATTCATTTGGTGACTCTTTGAGTTTTGAAGAAGCTGTTATGCTTATCTGATTCCTTTTCTTTTTTTTTTTTTATAAATTTCAGTGTCTTTTGTCTTTTTGGAGGTTATTTATTGGCGGGTGCAGTTTATCGACATTTCTACCTTGGAGTTCATGGGTTAGATGTATGTTTCATCTCATAGCTGTTATTCTGATTGTCTGAACTGTTTAGATGGCTATTAGCAGCAATATTGTCCAGTTAGTAACTTCATCCCAGTAATGCAACTTTTACAGTGCTTTAAATCATCTGACTTTAGGGATCCACATTGTCTCTGCTGTGGGATAAGAGTTCCTTATTGTGGGCTAATATGAGATCTAGGATGTCTTCTTAGGCTATGATCATTATATGATTTCAATATTGTTAGCCAAATGCTGCCACATTTTTTTAAACAAGCCCGACTTTGCTTTTCAATATAGTGGCTTCTGTTCCCCAGTAGGCCAAAGGATGGTGGCATGATCTAGATTTTATGATACATAAATCTGAGCTGCTAGAACTTGTAAAGCTAACATAAGAAGTAAAATCAAACTTTTCTGGATTCAGACATCAGAAGTTCTATCTCGTTCTCCCTTGATTATCCTTTTCTTTTGTCCTCTTTTTGGCTATGATTTTGTTAATTGGTTTCTACCTTATGATGCAATTCTATCTTAGTCTATTAGGATGTAATTCTGGGGGTATTAGTACAATTTCCTAAATGCTTCTTTTCTAGGGTTTCTTGTGTGATTGCAGAAATGTCTTTCTTGTAGCAGTAGGGTTGTCATGCTTGATTTGGGGTGATGGATCTCAATTTTACTTGGTGTCCAAATTTCTTTTCCTCTCTTTCAGCACCAAACAGCTAAGGAATGCATGAGAAGCAAATAGCAAAGCATGTTCATTGTTGTAGGAAAGACATCATTCATGAGATGAACCTCCTGCCACCAATCAGTCACACAGGCAGTTGTAAATTTAACTGATTTTGTTTTCCTTCTTTCATCAGATGATTCCAAACTTGGATTTCTGGACCAGGCTACCTCACAGAACACAGGTATTCCTTTTATGTGCTGTGTTTCCTTGGTTAGTGATGTGGCGTTACTATCCGCTGACGTTACTATCATGTACCTATCTTGCAAATGTTTTAGCTGATTTTTCCCCATAAAGTATTTGCCCATGGAGGAACAGAATTCATGCCTAGTTTCAACTGGTTTTCTTGCACACTTAGAGTGGAACATATCTCTAAAGATTGAGTTCTCTCAATTGTCCAAGTCTTTTGTTTGGTTCCATGGGGTATTTCTTTTTAGAATGGATCCCATGGGATACTTACTAACCCAACTATGAATAGAAGTGGTTAGATGATTTATGGGATTTTGACACATTTCGGTTGTCTTAAGAGATGGTTTCTAAGGTTCACCAATGTGTCACTGGAAAAGAACAAAAAAATCTGCTTTAAAGTTCCTGAAGTTGAAGTCTGGTGTGGTGGTGGTCTACTTTGAAGTGAGCGTATGATAGATGCCTGCATAGTTCACAGTATATAATTGCTGCTCAGAAAGATCTAACTGCTAGCTAATTTACCAATTATAGAAATGTTGAATACAGACATCTGAAAACAATATAACAATATTATGTTTTTTTGCTTCTCACTTGCAGGGCTTTTTTGCATCTTTGGTACGGAGATTTAGAGGACCTACTGAAGGTTATCGAAACTCCTATTCTCCTGTCAACTTTTGAAGATCTGGGACTTGATTTACGATTTTGTAGTGATGAGGCTCGAATTTGCGTATGAACCTCGCGCAAGTAAATCCGACCACACTGATGGTTCCATCTTAGAAAAGCTACTGGTGGTCAAGTCTGAAATGTATGCTTGAAGTAGGGTTTGAAAACCCTTTTGCACAACCATCCTGTTCACGATTACACCACAATATCCAGGTTTCATGTTTCCTCATTTTTTTTCATTGATGATATTCAATAGATTGTAATCTCTTTGACATGACAATATAAAGTATTATCATTCATTTTCTTTTATGTGACGTGTTGAAGTTTCTTTCCTTTCCTTTTTGATATTAGATTATGCATTTTTGTATTACACCCCCACATTCCACTAACACCTTTAGCGCCCTCATGTGCCTGTTCCTTCATTTCTTTATTCTCTCATTCATAGCATTCAAATGTTTATCATTGCATCTCAAATTCAATTAGGTCTATCCTGCAATTCCCTTTTTTTCTCAAAGCATTCTAATTTTTTCATAGCCCTGATAAGTAAGCTCTCAGCCATTATGAGGTGCTCCAAAATGCTACACCTCAAACTCTGCCTGCTTCAAGCACACATTCCTTCCCACTCCAATCTTAGATCACTCCTGCCGAAGCAAAATTTGCAATGGTATTTATTTTTTCATTTTTTTCCTCTCAAAAACATGATGAATCTTTTCCAGGCAGCAGGTAATTTAAGTGAGTTCTAAAACTTGTTTTCTTCCGAACTCGGGTTTTGCACAAAAGGAAGTTTGTGAAAGATAGAACAGGTGTGTAGATAATGTTGTCTGAGAACTTGATATGAGTGTTAAAGAGTGTGTGATTGAAACATGGGACAGGAGCAGATGGAACCTGTGAGGTGAGCAGATGGAACCTGCAAGCTTGGTTAGTTTTGCCTAAAGATAGTGGGATGTCTAAAACAATCTACAGCAAATTATCAAAGTGTTTTGACGAGGCAAAAAGAGGTTGATATAATCAGAGAATTAATTTATTTACTTTGGAAACTGGCCTATTTTATAGCTATTAGAAGCACTTTATTTAATGTTTTATTAAGCGATGGAATATAAAGTTTCATTACATCTATATTTGGCCTAGTAAAGGGTAAAAAGAGGCAGAAAGGAAATGCATAAAGGATTGGAAATCACAGATAGCTGATGGTTGTGCATGAGAAAATCTAGTGATGCCATGGAATTGTTGAGAAAAAAAAATCGAGATGATAAAGACATGAGAAGCCTTCAGCTGTTTCTGACTCATGTTATAATCTGAATGTTCGCATTTGAAGTGACGTTCTTGAGTATTCTACTTGGCATGATTACTTCCATTTGCATCTGAACTCACTAATACCCAACTATGATCTCGGAAGGTTTCCTGCTTTCCTACTCAGCGGTTTGTATATGAAGCTATTCAATTTGTGTGTCGCTAATTCAGCAAAGACAATGCCATTTTTTTATTAAAAAAATGGTGAATGGCATCATTCTTTGGTGAACATAAGGAATCTTGCAAAAGGTATTAAAATTGTACCAGATAGAAGTGCAAAAAAACGGAGAGCCATGGACTGATGAAAACATGGTACTCGAGTAGTATGGAAGCCTCGAGGGTTTATGTGATATCATTTTGAATCATGGCTCTAAGGTTTAACCCAACTTTAATTCGATGTGCAAACGATGGAGATTTTATTAGGCCCGTGACTCGTGTTAATTAGTTTACACCAAAAATCGGAAAATATTAGCTGATATAATTTACTCGTGTTTGCTTGCCGTTGAGAAAATGAAGCGCGTCTATGTGTCTCAGGTTACCGCCACACAACTGTTTTTAGGCTTGTTTCGTCAAAAATCTTAATTGAAATTGGGGTCCATGGAAACTAATTCGAGAGCACCTTCATCATTCGAAAAAAGAAGTTACAGCCAGGTCACGTATCATAAATAATCTATAAAATGTCAGTATTTCTTTTCTATTTCATCATTTGAATACTTCTTCATGTTTAAATTAAACCACAAGCTTATTCTATACTAATTTCCCAAAGTCGACGGCACAACAAGAACGAATAGACAGCTAATAAACAACAAGGGCGGAGAGGATCATTAGGTAGGTAACAATTTTTTTAATTCTACTATTAGTTAATCCGTCGCCATTGTATATTTCCTAAAGTCTGCGTAATTGCAGCTATTATGTAGCTTGTATGACATGGACTGAAGGGGAACTTGAAGTATTATACAAGATAAATAAATAAATGGCCAACCACTTGAAGCAGAAATGTCACCAAATGCTCACCTAGAACTCTCGAATAAAGAATTGCAACTCCTCCTCATCTTCTCTTGATCGTATTGTTATAGTTGTGAATGAATCGTTTGTGTATTTAAAATGTCAAGTCTACCATGAAAAGTGAAGACAATTATGTGCTAGCCATCTCTCACTGATCTTAACGTACAAGTTAAGAAATTATCATTGCTTCCTCTATCAATCATGCAATGCCCACAAGGGCCAACTCAGAAATTATCATCGCCCCTTCCCAGGAGGGCTTGGTCTTCTCTCCTCTTGTGCTCTTGAGTTTTGACTCTCATTTCGGGTGCCTCTTTGCAACACGCTAGGCCCCAGATGATGTGGACGTGAAAACCAGGATATTAGATGAAAATGATTAGCTACAGTGAGCAAATTAGATATTAAAAATCTCGGACAATTTTCAGTTTTTATCAGATACTGCTGTAATCTGTGTGGAGATGGCTGGATGTCTACATTTCCAGAATCTTCCAGGAGCTGATTTTGCATCATTTTTTTGGACGAGGAGGGGAAAAAAGCTTCTTCTTTTCTATGTCTACAAGTTGTTGTTTTTTTCCCTTTCCAGAAGATCATTGCTCTGGTGAGCTAATTCTAATCATCCAAACAAGTCAAATAAAACATCGTGGATACAATACTAAAAAGGTACACAAATCACATGCACGTTAGTTGGTCAGGGGTTCGGTGAAATTGCAAATTGTAAGGTCGTAGGCCAGAACAAACAACGTGTTCCGTGATGTTATATTTTTAGAATTTCTTTTTCCTTATATATATATATATATATATATGCATAAGGTTTTGTTAAACTCCACGCCAAGAAATCAATGGTTGTATAAATAATTACACGTAGTTGATTAAAATGATTAATTTGGCAGCATAAAAACGATTTATTTTGACATTGAACTTCCTTTAAAATTGCCAGAAAGATAAGGCAAAGGATAGAGAACCAGAATTGTATTTTTTTTCTGTTCCTCCACATATCATAACCGTTGTGTTTTTTTTTTTCCCCTCGATTTATCATGTATATAGTTATAAAAAAACATTGTATCATCCTCGAATAGCAATCCACCTAATGACGTCAATCATGCATTTGAACAAGACAATTGTATTCGCATTCAATAATGTGTGGGAATTAGCAATCTACCATGCATCTTAAATTAATATATTAATGAGTATCAATTGTATATATTAAGAAGAAGAAGAAGGAAGAGAGAGAGAGAGAGAGAGCTGTGTCGTCTTGTATTCGAACCGTACCCAAAAAAAAACAAAAAAACAAGAAGGTTATCACGACACATAAAAAAACAACATGAGTATTTCCTTTCCTTATTGCTCCAAACCTACATGGTTCCTATATAACACCATGAACATTAATAAATGTAATCTCAAACTAACAAATATGAAGCAACCGTTCACTGCTTCCTCTTCTTCTTCATCTCTAATCAGAAAGGCCCGTCTCTCTCCTTACCTCTTCACTTTATTAGCCTTCATTGTCTTTGTTGCCATCCTTTACGGCGAGGACTTCGTGTGCCTCGTTGGCCAGCTTGACCCCAACGTGGACCGGCTAGCAACCATAACCGGTGAGTTGAGTCCATCGGTGGATATCAAATTTTAACTCTCTTTATTCATATATAATTTCTTCTTTTTAAAAAGAAAAAAAATGTTTTCGTGTAAAAATGTGTGGTTTACTGAGATGGCCGTTCATGTCATGTTTTGGGGTTAGAGAAGAGGTGGGAGAAGCTACCTTTCTCGATAGGGAAGACCCCAGATGGGTGTGACTTGTTTAGTGGGAGGTGGGTGTGGGACGATTCAACTCGGCCTCTTTACGAAGAATCGGAGTGTCCGTACATACAGCCACAGTTGACATGTCAAGAGCATGGCAGGCCCGACAAGGATTATCAATACTGGAGATGGCAACCTCATGGCTGTGATCTTCCCAGGTAATTTAAACTTACCAAATTAGCTAAATTGGATTGTAATCTTACAGTTTGAGCAAATTAAGTTTTAATTAAAATCATACCGATGCCAGCATTCTTATTTTAAGTTGTAGTTAGATGTTATGATAATGCCATAGAGCTAGAATCTTGCGTGGCTATTATATTCTTTCCTAACTGTGAAAAGGTTATATTTATCAACTTCTACATACTTATAAAGAAAAAGAGATCGGTTGTTTTTTTTTTTTGGGTTTTTTAATTAATCAGTTAGGTGCTCAGCTAGCTAGCAAATTAAAATAGACCTTTCCATTTTATAAGACGAAATCTAATTAACAATACATGGAGTAAATATTTTAATTTTGAATGGAACAAATTAATTAAGTGATTGCTAAATGGTCCAATGTTAACGAGTTTTAGGATTCCAACCATCTAATTGGTTGGCTTGACTCCAAAAGATGCTGGCCAACCCGATCACTTATGCATAAGAGAATTATATATCAAGCAGCCCCATAATTTTTTTTAATATTATTTCTTGGGTGGAAGTAGCTCTATTGAATCGTGAATTATTCGAAAACCAGGCAACAATTTCTACAAAACACACAGTTGGGGGGGGTTGTTGGAAACCACGATCGATGGATGAGGAAGTTTTTTATTTTTATTTTTTAAAAATGTTATTTAGTATTGTGGTTGTATTATATTTAAAAAATATAATTTTTAATAATTTTTAATGTATTTTTAGATTGTTTTGATTGGTGAATGTAATTTTTTTTAAAAAAAATATTATTATGATATATTTCTTAATAAAAAATATTTTAAAAAATATTTTTTATTATAATTCCCGTGAAATATTAAAGATAGCTCGAGTGTTTAAGCTGTACTTCTTCTTCTTTTTTCTTGCTGTTTTTGCTTTGATCTGAACATCTATATTTATTAGAAGAGATTAAAAAAATCACTAGAATTTTTATCTTATTACTATACAAAGTCTTATTTATACAGACCCATTTAGTTAATTTATTCAATCAATATTTACCAAAATAAGAAAAAAAAACATGTGATGTAAATGAACGAGGCTTAACCACGTCAATCAATCTCATAGTCTTTATTTTTATGTATAAATATATTGAAATTAAAGATGTGCAGTTAATATAACTGTGGCATGTAAATGACAGTGCTTTTGTCGCATGTATACTGTGCAGTTTTAATGCCACGTTGATGCTTGAGACCTTACGAGGAAAAAGAATGATGTTTGTTGGCGATTCCTTAAATCGAGGACAATTTGTCTCCATGGTCTGTCTTCTTCACAGACTCATCCCTGAAGGCAAAAAATCCATGGAAACGTTCGATTCTTTAACGGTCTTCACTGCCAAGGTGACAATAATTGATTTTCTCCTATAATTTTAATTGGCTTCACTATGCTTTAAGCAAGATTAAAATGTGTCGTAAACACAGAAAAGTAACCTTGTTCATGATTGTACAGGAATACAATGCAACAATTGAGTTCTATTGGGCACCATTTCTCCTTGAATCAAACTCGGATAATGCCATCGTTCATAGAATATCAGATAGAATTGTGAGGAAAGGCTCGATCAATAAACATGGCAAAAATTGGAAAGGCGTTGATATTATTGTCTTCAATACTTACCTGTGGTGGATGACTGGCCTCAAGATGAAAGTCTTGTAAATACTTTTGACTCTTAACTTGTCACACAGCTTTTGATTTTCGTTAGCTTGAAAAATCAAGGTATAACAGCTTATGTTTTTCAGGCAAGGTTCTTTTGAAGATGAAACGAAAGATATCGTAGAGCTGTCAACTGAGGATGCCTATCGTATGGCAATGAAAAGCATGTTGAGATGGGCGAGAAAGAATATGGACCGCAAGAAAACAAGGGTCTTTTTCACTAGCATGTCACCTTCTCATGGCAAGTGAGTAGACTGTGTCCCATTTGATCATGTAATTTCCAAAAAAAAAAAAACATGGATGTTGCAGATTAACGAACCAAAAAGGACCAAAGATCTAAGAAGCAGAACAGAATTACATAAACAGAAAGGGAGATAGTTGCAAATATTTAGGTGTCTAAGTTTATTTAA